ACAAGGACCTTTGATTAAGGAAGTAAAGAACTGAGGTGTTCGTATGTGGTGGTGGTAGGAATACGTGGCAGAGGATGGAGTTTTTCTGATCAGAGTTACCCAGTTAAACTAAGCTGGATTAATTAGGTTCTCCATACTATGCACAAGTTGTCAAAGGGATACTTCAAAAAAGGCTCCCCAGCAAGAGCATAAGGCAAAGCAGGCTGTCCTCCTCAAGAATGAGATATAGCTTCATTTTTAGCACCACCTGGGGAAACAGGAGAGTTGTCACCTGATGGAAAACAGCAGCACTGCCATTTGTCATCCTGCCATGAGCCCTTCATTCTTCTGAGCAAGGTTTGTGTAACAGCAGGAGAGGGACAGAGGGTAGCACTTGTTGTTAGAGTAACAAGTGAGAGGTAATGAGCAGAGATGGTTTTGTGGGATAAAGCTAGGGCTGGAGTCCTCTATTGCTTTGTGAGGAAAATAGTCTTTCTTCTCAGATGGAGAACCTTAGGCATGACTGATTAAGGGACGATGCTTCTGCCCACCATTGCATTAACAACTATAAAACAAGAGCTTCCTGCTGCCTGTCCTGATCATGCCACGAGATAAAATCAAGCAAAGCTGTGGGCCCACCTTTGAGAGCAAGTTCCTCCAAAGTAGCAGTTCCTTTCACTCACCAGTGTTGTGTGAGTGTTTCCAGTTAAAACATCCAAAGGTAGTGAATTTAGATGCCCCCTGGGTTCAGAGAGGCAGGCAAGAGCATTGTGGGAGCTAGAGAGCTCCTACGTACACATCAGAAGAGGGCAATTAAAATCTCCAGTGGATCACTGCCACATAGAAATGTGGCCTTGGTATTTTCTGGGTCTTCGAGCTTTTCAAGTGTAGAGAGCCGCTGAAGCTGGAGATTGATCACATGTGTGGGGCTAAAGCAAAGCCAGACCAGAAAAAACAGAAAGACCAAAACAGGCTATGTAAACAAGTTGTTTCAGCACCAAGAAGGCAAGGTTCCCAGGCCTGCCAAGCAATGGGTTGCTAGGCAGAGGGGCTGAAATTGACATCATCTTTCCCAGTTTATAAATAAAGGTGCTATAGTAGTTGAGCAATTCCTATCATCCCACCAGGAGAATAAGGGCTCCACCTGACCCCAGCTTTGTCTTTTCTTTGTTTTTCTCATCCCCTTACTGGTCTTTAACCCTAAGAACCTCAGGAGCTGCATTGGGTCCAGACATATGGCGCCAGAACACAGACCAGATAAGAGATTCAGGGTGAGGGGACACTTCTCATGTGCATGCAACTAGGGGGAGAAGTGCACTGGTATATAGGTCAGTAGTCATCACCGGAGTGTATTGATATTGGCTTCATCAGGTGCAGAGTGGGGTACTGAAACTCCCTCATTCTCTAGGGCCAGTTATAAACGGGTCTGAAAGAAACACCTTCCCCTGAAAAGAAAAAAAAAAATTACAAGTAAATTGATTATATCAGCTGTCTAACTATGGGACAAACTTATCCAAAAGAGTCACAAATGTGTAAAGACCTGTATGTTCTATGCTTGATTCCATATTTACATTCCTTCTGTGGATCTGGATTACACAGGGCCTTAATAATCTTAAGCTTCTTAAGACAACCACAATGGAACTGGCTCCAGGCACTGCTTCAGAATCAAGTCTTGAGCAGAAAAAAGATGGCAGCACGACCCCCACCCTGATAACCTTAACTGAGCCACTAATTGTCCATTCAGCAAAACCTTCAACTATCTGTCCAAAGTGTAGACGATGGTATCACAGGGCCACTTAATGTAAATTCAAAACTTCCAGCAGGGCCTGTGGCAGCCCTGCCAAACAGTAGGTTTGTGACAGCTCAGATGGCTTCCAGCTTCCCCGAGATGGCTTGCCCCTGCTTGGCCTGGCAGGCTCCTAATGGTTGGGGGGTAATATGGTTCTGATTCATGGTTTGCTGATTCCTGTTTACAAAATGGTCTTACAAAAGACAATTCAAATAATCAATACAACAACAACTAACCTTTAAGACTTCTAAAAAGTCAACACTTGGCTTTCACTAGCTGATGAAAGGCTGGCTCCAGCATATCACTGTCTCTGTAGTGAGCTTTAATATCTGGTAATGTAAACTCTCAAACTCCACTGTTTTTCAAAATTGTTTACTAGAAAGGTACTTTTTCATTAATTTGTGATTAATGTAACTCTACGTTTATTTAGGTTCTTTCTGCTTTCTTAAGTCAATTTTCATTGTCAATAGACTGACACTACACAGATTGCTAAATTTTTTGTTTGTCACCAGAAGAAGAAATTGTAAATTTACATACTTGGGAGGAAACAGAAAAACAGCTTAGAGCCAGACGAGGGGAAAAACAAACCAACAGAAATCAGCTGACCCTCTACAGATTTTGAAGGGTTATTTAATAAAACTGCTGCTTTCTACTCCTCTCACTACTTCTCACAGTCCCCCAGGCAGGGTAGGGCACCAAAATCTCTACTGAGTCTGGAGTTTGGTCCAGACCAGGAAGGTAAAGAAATAATGTTGCTTGTTTCAGCTGCAAGGAGAAATCAGGGTTATGGTTCAGTCTTCTGGAAAAAGTTCAGATCTCTCTCAATTATTTTATTGCTCAATTGGTTATTCTTCCCTTGACAAAAATTGGAAAATCTATTTTTAAAAAAGGGTATCCAAGGATTTTGGATCTTCTGATACTTATTAGAGAGGTGGGACATGGCTTTGGCCTGCTCAAGCCACCCTGGTTTTCTGTATCACCTGTACACATGCTTTATGAGTCAAAAGTTTACACTGCACTGATGCTCAGATCCCCAACAATAGTGGGGCCTCCAGCCCACAGCAGGAGCACCACCTGCATGTCACAGGAGAGCCCACGGTACTTAAATATAAAATGCAGTTTCCATTTTCCTTCTACCTTACCACAAAAATTCCTTATAATCTTCAGGTCTAAAAGTAAGCTAAATATGCTCACAATTTAAATTTCAAAAAAAAAAAAAAAAAACAAAAGGGAGAGTTTAACCTCATAATAGATTTCACTTGACAGTATATACCATTTAAAATATTTAAATTCTAATAAAGATGTAACTACCTCAGCAGATAGATAATGTAATCAAATAAATCAAATCTAAAAAGAGTCCTTTGGAATGATCTTAATACTGGACAATAAAAGCACCCAGTCAAGTGCTGATGTGGAATTGAGGGTATGCTTGGGTTTCCCCAGGAAAAGCTAAATGACCTATCTGGGTTCCAGTGTGTGCTGTCCAGCTATATCAAGGGCCCAAAAAAGAGCTGATCCTGCCTCTCAAGCTGATGCTCAGTCCTATGACAGTGATGCTATGGAGACCATGCTACAGCCCATAGAAAAGGATGTAGCTAGAACCAACCTTAATTGACCCAAGGTGCCCAGAAGATGGTAACCAAAAATAAAAAGGTCCAAATAGATGATAGAAGTGCATGGTAAGTCTTATGGCAAAAACATGTTAATTATAGATTTTGTCTTTTTCAAATTCTTTGATAAGAGATCTCTGCTAACTGACCTACAATAAATGTGACTATTTCAAATGACAAATTCTACAACTGTAAAAACTTTGTGTAATTCAATTTGGCTAAAATCTATTTGAGGACACTCTGATTGTGAAAGATGTTTGTAAATCTGTCTGCGTATTTATTTGCCTATCTGTCCAGTCTAGTAAGCTGTTGCTGGAGTCGCTGAGTTGGAGATTGCTCACATATGTGAAGCCAATAGCACAAGTGCCCATACAGGAGTGTCCAAATGGCACTCAGTGGGGTATCTGAGAAATGCTGTGAGGGTATGGGGTGCTGGAGGTGACAGGAGTTTCAACCCCGAGGGTATGGGTTGTAAAAAGTGAGCTAGTTCAACAAAGGGGCGTGAAATAGCCCCTAGGAGCTTGGAGACTTCTTGGGGACACAGATAACTCTGCATTTGCTTCTATGTCTGTTTGAATCTGTACAGATTGTCCATTTGTCTGTCTATTTGTGAACAGCTGTTCTTTTTTATTTTGAGCTCAGCAATTTTCCTTTTTCCTTTTTCTTTTGCATGTATAAATCATTTAATCAAGGTTTATTTGAGTTATAGAATTACAAAAAATGCTTCCACCTGGATTCCCAGTTAGTCAAAATGATACTAAAGTCAGTTGTGTAAATGTAATGTACATTGTTGCTTATCATAACTTGAGAGCCTCTCATTGTTCAAAAATAATATGTTAAATGCTATGATTGGAGTTTTCTTAAGAAAAAATTATTGTAAAAATGATTAAACAAAAATCCCTTGGGGTTGGGATTATTGGACAGGACTTCAACTGATGAATAAGAAAGTGGCCACCTGGTAACATTTTACCAGCTCTTGTTCATTGATTGAAGGCCCCAGTGATCTGCATAGCCTTATGGGAGACACCCCAACTAAAGTTATGTAAATATTATTGTAATATGTTCACATTGGTCATTATTAAAAGAAATAATACAAAAGGTTTTTGATTTAAAAAATGCCCATACAAAAGTTTTCATATGCTTGGTTATGACAAATGATTGTTGTTAACTCCCTGGTGTATTCACATATTCAGGCCTCCAGATGTATAGGTCTTTGAAAATGTAAAACCTGATTGTTTATGGTGACAAACTTTTGTTTCAGATTCAGACCTCTGCCTCTAACAAACACTTATGAGATGTACATCCTACTAAAGGTCAATAAGTTAGGTAAAGGCTTTTGTGTATTAGATAGGGATGACTGACCAAAAGGGAGAAATTCGATATCAAAATGAAAATTCAAATGTGTTACAAAATGTCATCAGGGTTTTTATGCTACAACATTGTATATGGTTTGATTTCTAATTTTCTATGTAAAATACGTAACTGTTTGTTAATATTCTACAGGTATTCAAATGTTAAAATACCCATAGTTGTTAACAAATAATGGTTCTATTTTATATTGTAAAATGTTTGATAATTAATGCCTCTAACTACACTGTACTGTTATCAATCTTTTCTTCCAGATGTTTAACAACTGAGGTTTGGAGACCTACAATTAGAGAGACAGATGGTCTAAGAAGACAAACAGTATTTTGTCCCTAGTTCTCCAAGGTCAATGAGGACCCATGACGGAAGAGAACCTCTGCTGCATCATTCTATATTAAGTGAGTCCCTAGTCTTCTGACCAAGAAGACTGTGAGACCACTGAGGAAACTGATGATCATTGGTGTGTGGTCTGCCTAAGGAGAGTCACCAGGAGCAAAAATCTCCCAAGCGTTCACAGACTCATCCAAACAGCTGACACTGATGGAAGAACTAAGAGGTGTCATAGCTGGTTCCAAGGTATTCCTGAGAAGACTTAACTGACCTGGATAGATAACAAAAATTGATTGTGTTTAAAACAGGTCTCACCTTAACTTGGTCTTGAACATCCGGAAAGTGTACAACTACTAGAAGTATATAAAACAATGCTAAAGTAATATGTTAAAAAGAAACTCAAATCACTAATAACTTTTGGCAATTGCCAGCTGCACTGGTAGCTGACTACTGTCACAGATTAATGGACTGCACAGGGTTTCAATTGTGCAATGCAGGGACTTAAAATCTTTGGACTGCACTTAAAAAGACCTACTGAGCTCTCCAACACAGCTCCTTCACACCTTCAATTGGCCACCCCTCCTTTGCAGCAACAAAACAAAAAAGAGGGATAGATAGGGAGCTGTTGAAGCTGGAGCTTGATCACATGTGTGAGGCTAAAGCAAAGCCAGCCCAGAAAAACTGAAAGACCAAAACAGGCTATATAAACAAATTGTTCCAGCACCAAGAAGGCAAGGGGCCCAGGCCTGCCAAGCAATGTGTTGCTAGGCAGAAGAGCAGAAATTGACATCATCTTTCCCAGTAGATAAATAAAGGTGCTACAGTGGTTGAGCAGTTCCTTCGGTCCCATCAGAGGTTAAGGGCTTCACCTGATGGTAGCTTTGTCTCTTCTTTGTTTTTCTCCTCCCCTTGCTGGTCCTTAACCCCAAGAACCTCAGGAGCTGCACCAGAAGAGGGCAATTAAAATCTCCAGTGGATCACTGCCACGTGGAAATGTGGCCTTGCTATTTTCTGGGTCTTCTAGCTTTTCAAGAAATCTGAAACTCTGCTTAATAAATCAATTTATAAAAAATTACTAATTAGGGGTTGGAGACTTAGCTCAGTGGCGTAAGTGCCTGCCTGACAAGTGTGAGGTCGTGAGTTCGATCCCTGGTACAAAAAAAAAAAAAAAAAAAAAAAATTACTAATAAGGCAAGCAAAAGAAAAAAGTCTGGGTTTTCAAAATACCAGTTTGTAATCTCTGAAAAGACCCCTGAATCACATGATGTGACAAGTCCAATAATTTCCTTTAAAATAGACTTTCCTCCCAAACCAGTTCCACCACTGAATGGAGCTTTGAAGTGCTTCTTGCTGTGATGTCTAGAACTCCGGGAGCTTCCTCTACAGGCGGGATGTGATCTCTGTTTTTAGGGATCATATTCAATTTTACTCATTCAACCAACATCTACTAAGCCGAGGTCCGCTCTGTGGTTACATGGTCTGTGCTTTTAGAGACAGACTGTACCAGGAGCAAGAATAACAGATACATAATCACATTAACAAATATAGGCTATCTAACTGATGCCTACCAAGAACGCAGAGCAAGAGGTGCAAGAGATGAATGTGGGAGGGGACTCATTTAGCTTGTGGGAGCATTCAGAGAAGGTCTGGAGAGACCCAGGTAAAGACACCAGGAAGCCTCTGGGCTAGAGGCCATGTGTGCAGGATCATGCTGACTTGGGTGTACAGTAGCAGGGCAGGGAGCCTGGGAGAAGGACAGGAGAGTGAACTGCTGAACTGTGGGCTGGATCCTTGAGAGAATCCCTGATGTCATCTGTGAGGCTCAAAGATCACCTTGTTTCTGAGTACTAAGGTGGGAGTGGATAAGAGGAGAGAGTGAGAATACTGCAGATGAAGAAGGATGGAAGATGGGACACATGAGATGGGCAGCACAGAAAGTAACTGACACATACATTGGGCATAGAGCTAACCAGAAACACGACTGTGTTTCTGTTACGTACTATCACTTGGAATAAAGAGAGAATTACTTGTTGCCTTCCGAAGCAAAGCTCCTGGTTAGAGTAGACCTAGGCTAAGCATGATAGTTTCTTCATTTCTCAACTGCTGTGAATGAACCCCCCTTTCTGAGCTAAGCTGTCTGGCTGGTTATACTTACAAACCTCATCTAGCATTGTTCAGAGTCTACAGCTTAATACTTGTCTTTCTGAACTTGGTTCTTTTAATCAAGTAGTTTCTAAGCAGGTAAAATATCTGCTATGCCTGGGCTTCATTCTAGGTGAGCTTGAATCCCAGAAATTCTCCAAGAAAGCCTCTGTGGAAAGTAGTGAGACTAGCTATTTATTAAGTGCCTGGAGCTGTTCTAAGTGTGTTAAGTATGGTTAATCCAATTGACTGACTTAATGTTCACCCCATTTTGCAGATGATAGAGGCACAGAGAGATTAAATAATTTGCTCGGGTTGTTGTTGGTACAAATTTGAGTAATGAACCCAAGCAACATGTTGTGAAATCTGTACACTTAAATTATAATCCTGAGTGTCAACACTGCATGATAGAGTTAGATAGAAGGGTGCCATGTTTATAATTCATCCTGTGTTTTGGGGAAAAGTCATGAATGCCTGCCCACTCTTATCCCTAGCAATCCATCCAGCATCACTACAGAGGAGAAGCTTCCTAGGTAGACCTGCCTTAGTGTCTGTGTGGCCAGTGGGACTTTGCTCTAACCTCCCGCTCAAAGAAGCAGGAGTGACTGAAGATTGGAGCAAGGAGCAACCTGTGCTCCAGAAAAGGCCTGTTAAAAGGGTGCTGCAAATGTTGAAGTAGCCATAAATGAAGGGCTTCTCCTGTTTGTGAACTAAGCTCATAAGCAGGTTCCCCACTGGGCTTTGCCCACAGGACACAGATACAATTGGCCTATAAATAGCAAAAGGCCTGTAGGAGGGATGTGCAGAGTCTAGCGAGGAAGATGGACAAGCCAGCAGGCAGTGATAAACACAGAGACACCAGAGCCTCACTTCCACACTGAATTTCCTGTCTCAAAAATCCCCTCTGAACAGCAGGGAATTTTTCTGATAAGGAGGCTCCTTAGGAGGTTGCAAATGCCTCAGTAAGCATTTTCCTGATAAGAACCCTATAGGACTCCTAGGCTTGCCAGAAAGCTGACAGATGCTAGCCAGAAGCTTCTCTCAGCGTGCACTTCCAGGGTGCTGGTGTGTGTGAAACCCTCAACAGGCAGAGGAAACTAGCTCCCTGATGGTGGGCTTCAGCGACACATGGGCCTGTGCTCTGCTCTTCCATCAGACCAGTAATGAGGTCCCTATTCCTCAAGGCCCCATAAATGCCATCTTATGACAGGGGAAAATATATTTAATGAAGTCTGTGTTCTTTGTCATTGCTTTGCTTTGTCTTTCCAGTGCTTAAATTTGTAAGAAACAGCTCCTGCCAGTCAATCTAGGGTGGTGATTTCTAAAGTACATTGCATGAAAGTAGTCTTATGGCATCGTGTTTTTCCATTACTAACTAACCCTTCCTCCAAAAGTGTTCTGACTTTACTTAAGTTTAAGGTGCTTGAGACAAACCTCTAGTAACAAGGAGTACATTAACCCAGAAAAAAAGCCCAAGGCCCCCAGGAGCCATGCTTGGCTCATAATAAGTAATTAGTACAAATCTTTACAGAAGGGTCTGAGCCCAATACTCAGCATTGTAAATGCTTAGCCATAACTTTGTAGTTAAAAGAGAAAAGCTATGGATTTTGTTCTTCAGCAAAACATTCCTTTAATGATTAAGCTATAGACATTTTTCAGGCTCATTTCCTTTCTAATTGAGAAACCAGCGATTTGGAAGAGGCTTTGAGGACCCCTACAAAAAACTTACTGACCTGTTTCTGACTTCACTGGAGCATGTGCAGTTGATGCTGCCAAGGGTAAGCTTAGATTATCCTAGCACAAACATGTCTGTCTACCTTTGCAGAGAGTGAGCATATGGGGAGAGAGGCTCCTGCTTTCTGGACAGTCATTAATAAGTCACTTAGAAATCATATCAATGTACTCTGCAAATCATTGATTCTTTGCAAATACACAAAGCAGCATCAAATATTTCTCAATATTTACTATGCATCAGTGCCAAACTAGGTGTTTTCATGCTGGCTGTCTCATTGGCTCTTCTTAACAGTTCTTTAGGTAAAGGAAATATTATATTCATTTTGATTTTGGAAAAAAAAACCCTAAAGATTGAGAATTGAGTTAAAATGTCTGACTGCTGGTTTCCTGTTGGAGAACTTTTGAGAACAGATCTGGGTGCCCATTATATTATTTCAGAGTGTCAGAAAAGTAAATACTGTCAAAGACCCACCTATGACCTATGACCCCAACCCCCCAAGAATTGGACAGTGCTTCTGCCTCTGACCTAACATTCTGAATATTGAAAATAGAGTTGTTGACTTAGATTTTCCAAGCACACAGGACTGGGAGATAAACTTTCACCTTCACCTGTGAGGAAATTCCTTCTCTCATACTCTGTATCCCATCAAAAGACCATCTTCTTCAAGTGACCTTTATTGACTATTTTATTGGAATTTAATGGAGAATGCAGAAATATTAAGGCAACTCCTTTAGTTCTCTTCATCTTACCACGTTCTGGAGGTGAGTGGTGTACCTTTATATTTAGCATCCTATTAAGGCTAATTATATTTCTGAATCAAAGAGATCATTTAAATTAAAAGGGAAATGATTAAGCTGAGGAGAGTCTGATTCGCTAGTGAGACAGCAACCAAAACAAAGCTAAATGTAGAACCAGGATTTCCATAACTAGGGAGATGCAGGATCAGGTCTTAGGAGGGTAGATGGATAGAAGAGGAGGAGGCTCTCCTCTCCTGCTAGGTATTCTATTCCCTCAAGAAGAACACCTAAGAGCCCTGCCCTTGGTGCTGAAGCATCTTTCCCACAAGTCTGCATGGCTGCTCAGAAAACCATGCTATGGCTTGGTGCTTCAGATATGCTGTTCCTTATTTATTGGCTAACGTCACAGGGTTCACACTGTAAAAAGAAATTAACTCAGATATGTTGGATTTAACTCCATCACTCTGTCACTCATTGGCATGGCTGTATATCAGAAATAAAGAAGCCTGACTGAATTTGAGGCTCACAGTACCTCGTGTGATCAGTCCATATTACCTCTATTCTCCAGTGTGAAGCTACAAGCTGTGAAAAATATGCTTTAGCTTAGGAGACACAGGCTTTGGGATATGTTTTACTAACTTTACATTTTCTGATATGTGGTTGGATACTAAGTTCTTTCCTGAGATTATATAATAGATTGAAATTCACTGTTTTGGTTGAAATAGGAGAAGCATCTAAAACTCCAATCATATGGTCCTATCCACGGAAAAACCATCAAGAGTCAATACGGATACCTTTAGAGATTATGATACAAGCCTTGGGATACATTTTAGTCCAATGCTTTGCTAGTTTGATTCCTATTTAACCTCACTTTTCCTCCACAAAAATATTTCCTTAATTCTATAGAGTTAAGGACTGGGCTTCCTCAATCCTGTGCTTCCTTCTATTACCACATGGACAACATTGTTCGATAATTATGTGTGATACGAATAAAGTAGGTCCAAGGGACTACTGGGAAGTTGGTGTCTAATGGTATTTTCACTTCAGCACTCCCAAAACTTCCAGAGACGGGGAACTACCCTAAACTGAGGCAGTCCACTCTATGTTAAAGCTGCCACAATAGTTAAAATCTACCTCTTAATTTTGAGCCAAAATATGTCTAGCTGTATCTCCCACTTTCTAGGATTATACATAACAAACATTGTGTGTTTTCTCCATTGGAACCTTCAAGTACCTAGAAAAGATAACATCAAAGCCCTTGTTCCTCTGTTCCTCACGAGCCACTGTCCTTAGTTCTTTTACCTGCTTGTATTATTTGACTCACAAGGAGACCTATTCTATATCTCTTTTAAAGTCTGGAGTTGGGTTATAAAGTTTGCATAAGCACCTCACATTTATTCCTGTTAATGAGTTAAATTATTCTCTAGTTTCATCCCATTTCTCAGGTTGGAATTTCTCCTAGGTTTTTTTCTTTTATACTTTTAGGATCCTTCTCTAGCTAACATTGGAAAATTTCTACATTCAAAAATAAAGAGATGCCTTATAGCCCTTTGCTTCCTTTTTTAGAAGAATGACTGATGATGTGAAGCCAGTATTTCTTTTATATGGATCACCTTGGGCTAAGATTTAAAAGCAGTAAGGTAGAGAGCTCTGTCTGACTTTTTTTCTATTGCTATAGCTACAGCACCTCAGAGAAGTTTGACATATCTTAGATTCCCAGTAAATATTTGTTGAGTAATTAAAACAAACTAGATTTATGCTGACATCTCTGGGACTATGACACAGAAGAGAAGACACTAAAATCTATGTCAGAATAAATTGACAATCACTTGAGGGGGTTCACACTTTAATATGCAATGCCAGATTCCTTCCTGTTCCAAGTTCAGGTCTGCAGGGAGAGAGATGACTTGGGCTAGGTTAATTTATTTCCCGTAAGTGGTACCTAACAACACGGGAAAGCCAAACAGAGCCTGGTAACAGGAAATAAAATGAATACAAATGCTTATACAAGTGCCAGTATTAGTTCATATCTGTTACAGCCTAACTAAGTACTCAACATTGCACAGCCATTCTCTCCTCTGATCTCACATCTTTATCATTTGAGAAAAATCTCCTTTATTCTCAACTCCACTCATCATTCTCAGCATGAGTCTCCTCAGTGGAAGTTTCCCGAGGCCCTGTTCCTCATCCTGGGCTCGACTTAGTCATTGCTGTGCAGTACACAAAGCAGGCTTGGGGAAGACGTGTGGCCGTAGACGTGAGTGACGAGAGTGAATGCAGCTAAGGCAGGAGCCCGCTGAGAAGCTGTTCTTTCTGATTTGGGCGATGACATGGTAAGAAGGCAACAATAGAAAAGAAATGTATATTTATACATCAATACATATATTTGACAGTAAGTATAAAATGTGCTTCTAAAGCTAGTTTTAAATAAATTAAAATTTAATGTTTTGAATGCCAAGGTTTTCTTCTTTTAAAAGTGTCAGTGATACTTTGAATTTGACTTCCATCTCCTCTAATTCTGTCTTTTAAAAAAATGTTACATAAATGGAATCACACTGGGGGAGTTCACATACCTGACTTCTTTCTCTTAGCATAATGCTTTTAAGATTCATGCTTTCTGTTCACTCCTATTTTATTGCTGACTTTAATTTTCTGGGAGAGTTTTTGTAACTGGTATTATTTCTTCCTAAAATGTCTGGCAGAATTCTCCAATGAGGTCACCTGGGGTAGAAAGATACATGTTACAAAAACATAATTCATTGGGTATTTGGAAATCTTTGCTGTCGGGTGTAGAGATCACTTCTTGCTTCGCACATGAGAACAGATGGGGTGCCTATAAATCCCTGAGGAGTTCTGCTGGCTGTCAGGGTGCACTATCAGTCAGAATGTGCAGGATGGGTGCGGGAGGGAAGAAAGGATTCAGCCATGGCTTTGGGAAGAAACTGGTGGGAGGAGCAAGATGTCAGGGAAATAGCCTCCAAGGTTTCCAGAACAAAGCTCAGGGAATAGGAAGAGAGCAGTGCCTCGGTACCCTGTGTGGCCTCTTGATTGGAGAGAAAATCACATCACTGAGGGTACTGCATTATTAACTATTTGCTATTTCCAGGATCCCTAGAAAGAGAAAAGCAAGCATCAGAAAGAGGCTATTTCAGAGTTTGCAGGACTGGGTCCAGACCAAAGTGGTGTGGACAAGCTTTAGATAAACGTCTGATTGCCTTTCCAGTCTTGGTGAAGCGAAACTTCCAGACGCTTTCAAGGCTTCCTGACACTACTGAAATTTCTCAGAATTTCACACCTTAGGATCTTCCCAAGGGGAGCAATATCTATTTGGTTGTCGCTAGTCTCACCGACTGAGCAAAATGCTCCATGGTTGCTTTCCACTGAGTGTACTGAGCTTCAGTCTCTTGCAAAGGACTTCTTCAGCTGGAGCCTGAGATGACATGGATTTTAAAGAAACCCTGCACATTCACAGCAGCACACATTGCTGGTGTAGACGAAAGCATGGCAGTCACTGACGCGCTGACTATAATGTGCTCGTCCAGGAGGCTTGGGCTTTTAAAAGATCAACAAAAAGGCTTCTAGACAGAAAGAAAGGCAGACCATTAGGTAAAGTTATGCAGAAGAGATTTGGAGTACCAGAGCCAGATGTCTTGAGAGAGTTTTCTGCAAAATGACCCCAACTCTCACCCCTAACTCTCCCAACTTTGTGATTTCTGTTTTATATCCTGTCATCAGTCTCTACCTACTTTTCCAGTTCCTCAGCCGAGATTTCCTGGTTTTTTGTTTGATTGATTGCTCATCTGCTCGTTTTTTAATGAACATTTGTTGAGTAATCCTGTTTATCTTATCTGTGCTCATTCAGTTCTGAGCTCCTACAGAGTCACTAAGTGATATCTACATTCTGACCTCCTTTAGGCATACTTACTTGCCTGGCTGATTGGTGGACTTTTAATGATGGAATAAGAATATATATATCACACCTATTAGGATGGATACTGTTACAAAAGCATACAATAAAAATTGGTGAAGATGTGGAGAAATCAGAACTCATGCATTGCAGCTGCTGTGGAAACCTGTATGGCAGTTTTTCAAAAATTAAACACAGATTCACCGTATAATTCAGCATTCTGCAATTGCTATTCTTATGATTCAGTAATTTCATTTCTAGTATTGAGCTATACAAATGAATCCTGGAGTTGCCACCCAAAAGAGAGGGATGCAAGGTCTTGAGTACGTATTTGTACCAATGTGTGCATAGCAATATTTTCACAGCAGCCAAAAAGTAGCAGCACTTCAAGTGTCCATTGATGCATGAGTTGATAAACAAAATGTGATTAGTACATGCTGCCAAAGAGAGCACAGAATGTGATTATTCATACAATGAAATATTAATCTTGAGAAGGCAAGAAATTCTGACATATGCCACAACGTGGATGACTCGTAAAGACTTTATGCTAACTAAAGTAAGTCACAATAGGCAAATATTGTATGATCTCACTAATTTGAGGTACTTGGAGTAGTCAAATTTGCAGACATAAAATGAACTAGTGCTTTCCAGGGACAGTGAAAAGGGAGAATGGGAAGTTTTTATTTAATAGGTACAGAATTTTAGTTGAGGAAGGTGAATATGGTCTGAAAAAGTGGATGGTGGTGATGATTGCCTAATAATCTCAGTGTACTTAGTGCTACTAAATTGTACATTTATATGGTTAAAGTCATAAATTTCATGTTAAGTATGTGTCATCACAATAAAAAAATAATACACTCAATCATTCCCTCTTCCTTAACATAAAATAAAAGCAAACTGGCTGCTCCTGGACATATGAAGTCAATATCAGTTCTTTGACTATGAACTGATGTTCTAATGTAAGAAAATAATATAATTGGGGAATATACACCTATAGTGGTTAGGATGTTTGGGTTACATTAATGAAAAGTGAACAAAAACTGGTTTATGCAGTAAAGGAAGTTTTTTTACTTACACCAGTAATAAGACGAAATGGTAATATTTTTTTTCCATCTGTCATTCTCTGAGTGACTGCTTCTTTCTCTCCCAGCTTATTCTTACTTAGAACACTAAATGCAGCAAACCTCACATTCACACATCTTGTCATCCAAAGTAAGAATTTTTTATTTTCCAAGTAACCAGAGCTGTTTCTCAGAGTTCCTCTAACTGGGTCAACATAGGACTCCACTGATTCATTCAACCCAATTGGGAACAGGCACAGAAAGGAAAACATGGCCAGTTTTACCCTTTTAAGTCTCAAGTTAAAACTATATGAGGAGCCTTCATTGGCTGAGCCTATTGAGTGGCTCACACCCTTGCCATAGAGACAGGAAGGAAAGAGTAAAATACAGATATAAATAGAATTAAGCTGAGTAGATTTGGAAATGTGAGGAATTGAGTCTTTAGACTATGGGTTATTTGGTTAAAAAGATTGATGTTTTATCTCATGAGGGAGATGTTGGTTGGAAAGGACAAGGAGGATGAAACATTTTTAAATATGTACCATGAAAACTGATAAAGAAAGGTACCTAGGGAGACCAAAATTCCCAGGTGGTAGTAGGGTTAAAATGTGATAATTCTGTGGGCTATAGATGAGGACTGTTATTAGAAGAAAAGTGAGTACCAGTCTGTGGATCATCTCCAAATGGTGAGTGTAGAGCAGAGATTCGTCAGGCATCACTGACGAGTGATGGGGAAAATCCAGTGGCCTGGATGTTCTCAAGCAGGTGGGGCTTGGATGGTAGAGTAAACCAAAGAAAGATGGTTAGAAATAAGATATTTGAAAATAACCTCTTTAGGTATTCCCCTGGAAAAGATCTAGAAGCAATGACTACGCAATAGCAATGAGCATCCACATGACTCAGATTGTGATTTCCAAATGCCATGTCCCATGAATAGGTCTCCAAGTACCATTTCAGGGGAACTATCCAGCTCTGTCCGGGGTAGGGATTGTGTCAGATAAACCCGGAACTTCTTGTTACATCAGAAATCAAAGAAATAATGCGTCCACTGGACGATGTTAAAAGGGTTTATAAGAAAACCTAAGAAATATCCCCCTGACCAAACATGAAACAATTTGAGCATCAATAAGTATAACAATTGCAATGAATTCAACCAAAGAATACAAGAATAAAGAAAGAATAAAAGAAATCTCACCAAATGACCTTTGAAGGATTCTTGGTATAATGATGTAAAGATGGTCGTAAAATTTTTGCTGCTTCTTTGGAGAAGTAGAACTTCTGTCTCCTCTCCTTGAATCTGGGCACACTCTGTACCTATGTGCACCAATGGAATTTGGTGGGGTTGAACTGTAACTTCTGGGGCTGAGACTCAACTCATTAGGTCTGCATATTTCACCCACTGCCTCTCAGAACCTGGGTGTTACATCAAAAGCTTGAGTACCTGGAGATCAACAGGTTTTGAGAAAGCCCAGTTTAGCCACATGTGGTGGGGAGCTATCCCAACAAGCCCCCAGCTTTTTCTGCAGAGGTGTCAGACGAGTGAGTGATGAAGTCATTGCGGGTGACCCAGTCCCAAAAGCACCATGAGAAGCAGAAAGACTAAGCTGCACCAGCTCAGTT